GAACGACACACATTTAAATGGGGCCTCCAGAGAATCCAGACAAACAATTGTTCCCCTCATTAAACCAAATCCGGTGTTAGTCCTGGAATTGAGTTTAGGGGTCACCTTCTAGTGTAGAAACTGTAGTTCCCTGGGAGTGGAGACCAAAGCTCAGGTAACAAAGCGGAGAATTAAGGAGACCAATTTAAAAAGTTTGTCAATTAACCAAAGGAACCAAAAGTTCTATTCTTTTACTTAAATTGCAATAACTTGTATTGCTGAAAAATATTATTCAAATCATATTTCAAGAGAGTTTGAGAATTTTTTGCTCTTGAATCTTGTAATAGATATGATAAAGTTAAGGAACTGTTTTAATATCTGCTCTGGTATTGCAGAGCTGGTTTTGTCTGTACTTTGCAATTTGTACTGAAATGATTTTGTTTTTTAGTTCTGGTACAGTAGATCTTTCCATGTGGAGGTGAAGTCAACAGCCCCTTTGCTACTCTGGTTTTAAAGGTACTTTTATTTCTTTGATTTAAAGTGTATGCCTAGGAAGCAAATGCAAGAAAGGAAAACAAATGAACCCTATACCTCAACAAAGAGGCAAATAAAATCTCATATTAAAAAATTAGTACTGCAGCTTTAGGAAAAGTCAGTATACAGCTTGACTATACTTTTCCCAGAAGACCAGCAAACTTGGCGATACCAATGTAAGCTGGAAACTGTAAAGTGTTCTCAGTGGAAAATGAGCTGCAGGGAGTACCAGCTCATCAGGGAGTACCTCCTGCTCATGGATGTATACAGAGAAGAGTTGTAGCCTTGTGGAGTGTAGTCACTTGAACTATACCGCAAGCAGATTCACAAGGAGTACTCTTGATTTTGGCATTCTGTGTTTCTTTCAACTTCCACAAACAATTGTAGTTTCAGAAATAGCCCTCCTGAAGGAGCATTGTAGAAATCTACCTGGGGGGTCATAGAGATCTTTATCCGAAAAATTAGTTTTAATATCTGATATATCTGGCAGCAGATTTGTGAAAAGAGTTAAGACAAAATATAATTGACCAGCTCCCTGCAATAATAACTACTGCCGCATTTTCAAGCAGTTTTCCAACTGTTACAAATTCTTTTCTTTCCTGTGATACTTTTGTTATAGTGGTTTTAGATATAATTTAGGGGCATCTAGGTGGCACAGTGCATAGAGCACCGGCCCTGAAGTCAGGAGGACCTGAGTTCAAATTCGGCCTCAGACCAAACACTTGACACTTAGCAGCTGTGTGACCCTGGGCAAGTCACTTAACCCCAATTGCCTGAAAAACAAAAACAAAACAAACAAACAAAAACAAACAAAAAAAAAGATATAATTTAATAACATTGAATTTGGCTAAAATAAATATTTGTATAATATTGAAAAACCTTAGAATTCTGAGCAGTGACCAGTCATAACATGAGATGACCAGAATCTAGATCCTGGAATGAGGCATACTTTGTCAGACATGGCCACTGTGTTAATTTGTTTTATGAAGTTGCACTGGAGTGTAGTCTAAGACCATTTTCTCCACTCATCTTGTCTTTGACAGCAGCCTCTCAGCCTTTAGGCTTTCTTTGGAGTTGGCTAGTATTAGCAAGTCTTTTATACCATCTGAATTCTTTTTTTCTAGCAAGTAACATAAATCAGAAAATAGATATTTTAATGCTAATACTGACTAATTGCCATGCCCCATATTTTTATTGCTTCTGTTTCTTTATTCATATTGCTCTGTATTCCTGAAAAGCATCTCCTAACCAGCCATTGAAGCTTATCCTTTAAATCCCATTTTGAATGCCCTTTTGTCCTGGATACCTTCCCTAACTCCCCAATTTGTAATAACTTCCACTTCTCTTTGAACTTAACATAGAACTTTATAGCTATTATGTACTTTGATGTTACATTTATCTGCGCATGTGTTATATTATAGATCTTGAATCTCAGAGAGTGAGGGACCTTGTCCCATAAACTTTTTATTATCCACTGAGCCTATTCACTGCTCTGCACATAGAAAGTGCTTGCTAAATGTTTTTGAAATTTTTTTTTGAAAAAGTCAAGGAAGATGAAGAAGAGAAGGCATTTGGATTTGGCAGTTAAGAAGTCATTGGTGGTGATCCTTATCTCTATTTCCAGAATGATGAATTGTTCCTTAAGTAATCAAAATAGCGATTTTCATCTTAAATAGGTATGTAAGATGAAATACTTAAAATAGGTTTTATTCCTTTGACAAAGAAAGGAGTTGTATTTATCTGATCATTAAGGAGAAGAGAATTTTTATTTTATTTTGTTTTTAATTGCAGAGTAATTGCTTTACATAAGAAACATGGTGACACTAATTCGTGCACTAGCAGATCATGGTGATGATGTCAACTACTGTGCCTTTTCTTCTTCTCTTTTGGCTACTTGCTCCTTGGACAAGACAATTCGTCTCTATTCATTAAATGACTTTAATGAACTCCCATATTCTCCACTAAAGTGTCACACATATGCTGTCCACTGCTGCTGTTTTTCACCCTCAGGACATGTTTTAGCTTCCTGTTCAACAGATGGTACAACTGTCTTATGGAATACTCAAACTGGACACATTTTGGCAATGTTGAATCAACCCAGTGGCAGTCCTGTAAGGGTATGCAGATTTTCTCCAGATTCTACATATTTAGTATCAGGAGCAGCTGATGGCACTGTGGTCTCATGGAATATGCAGACATACAAGTTGTTTAGGTATGGATCCTTTTATTATTTTTGCTATATTAGGAGAAAAAACAGAAAATCATTTAAAATCTGAATGCTGTGAGGTATTTTAAAAACCTATTAAATGTTTTACATGATTGTACATGTATAACCTATATCAGATATATAGATTATGATCAGATATATAGACTATATATGTATAACCTTTCTCTCCCCTCCCCCACCTCTACTTCTCTAGCCATCTTCAACCTTATTTTATAAATATTATTTTTAAAACATTTAATTGTTTCTTGGTTTTAAGTATTTGAATTAACATATTTTGTATCTTTATATTAATTGAAAAAAGGAATCTTTATCTAGGGTTTCAGTGGTTCTAGTTGTCATTTTGCCTAATAACTCTTATTCTCTTTATTTCTCCTTGGCTACAAAAGTGAGGAAATGTTTCAGACCACCAAATTAGGGCTGTGATGACTAAGTCCAGGAAAAACTGAAACTTTGTGGCCAAAAGTATTTATTTTCACTTTTTTAAAAAAAGCACCGATGGTAAGAATACCAGTAAATTTATCATAGGCATCTTTCACTTCATCTTTTATATAATAATCTTTTATATATAATACCAGTAAATTTATAGATTGGAATGTGATGGGACTAGGCCTATGATTTCGTCGGTATAGGTAACTATAAAGAAGAGAGTTTTTGTCATAGAGGACGAATGCAAATGTGCACCTCTCTGCCATTTATAGACTTAAAGAGTTTTATGGGGCCCTGAGAGGTGGCAGAAATAATCACTCAGGGTTACATGGCCAGTATGTAAGTGAAACATGAACCTAATTCTTCTGATTCCAAGACTGGTTTTCTATCTGCCATGCCATGCTGCCTTTCTGCTTTGAAGACATACATTTTTTAAATTGTTATTACTTTGAGGATGCATGAATATATTTGTTGAGATGGGGTAGGGCTGCTTATGTGGAAGAAGGCCAAAAAGGGAAGACCAGAGATCTTAGTGTATTTTGATATATGTTTAAAATTAAGACTAAGACTAAAGTTGTTCTCATTGGTTTTCATGTAATTTGGTTTAAATAAAAATAATCTTACTAGTTAAGATGTTTCCATTTATTCATTTTGCTTTTAAAATAGGGAGAAGCTATGTTAGTTATTACCACATCTTTTATTAGATTTTTATGTAAATGTGCAGTTTCCATTTTTTTCAGTAGCTAAATTGTTCTATCTTTATTCTTTCAAAAATTCTGTCACATGACCTTTGAGAACTGTTAATTACTCTATCAGAGTACCAACTATTCTCTAATTTGGGAGGAAAGAGGGAGGTAGTCATTTTCTAGCAATATTTAGAAACATTATATAAAAGATGAAGTGAAAGATGCCTATGATAAAATATTACAATAATAGACTGTGATAATATAGTTAAAGATATCTTAAGGGAACTTTTTTTAACTAGGCATGATAACTTTTGTCTTTGGCTCTTGTTTTTCCTAGATTAAATTTTTAGCTGATAATATACAGGATATGCATACAGTAAATTTAGCCACTGGATGGGGCACTCCACTAATTGTTGAATTTTCACTAATTTTAAGAAAATTGAGTATATAATTATTATAACCCCTTACCTTTTTTCTAAAGACAAATTTAACTTCAGCATTGTTAGAAGTGGTAAAGTGAAAAAAAATTCATGTTGCTAAATGGTTATTTGGCTGTGGAGAGACTTTGAATTTTTTATTAACTCACAAATAATGTGTAAAACTTAATGTGAATGTGGCAAATTTAAACTTACTATGGTTAAGTCAGGCTTTGTAGTTATTTTGAAAATAAAGGTATAGTAGATAATATTGACTGTATTTGCTATTCAATAGATTTTAATGGGATTGATTTGTGTTACCTACTTTGACATTTGTTCTTTATGCATATCTCTGCATGAAAAGCTAAATGTAGATCAACTTTAGGTTAAGACTGTTTGGTCTTGTGAAATACATTATTTGAGATAACATTAAATTTCTCACTTTATTTTAAGACAGGTTGTTTCAGTTTAATCATAGAGACTATTTTTCTTTTGGGCATACATTAAAAAGGAAGAGTAATAGCCATTTTCTCCTTTTCTAAATAATAACTAGTGTTTATGATTTTTTACTTTATCAGGTTATAGTTAGAAGTTATATTTTCAAAACAAAACATGTTTAAAAACCAAATTCCTTTATTCTTTAACTCTATTCCAGGTGTGGTAGTGTTAAAGATGGTTCCTTGGTGGCCTGTGCATTTTCTCCTAATGGAAGCATCTTTGTCACAGGATCGTCATGTGGAGACTTAACAGTCTGGGATGATAAAATGAGGTGCTTACATAGTGAAAAAGCACACGATCTTGGAATCACTTGCTGTGATTTTTCTTCACAGCCAATTTCTGGTTAGTCATTTTACTGTTTTAAGTACACCTTCCTTATATTCTTTTCTACTACTATTTGTTTTATTCACTTTCTTTTTATCATTATTAAATATAATAAACACTAATATATTATATATTATATATATGTGCTAATATTAACAAATGTTAAATATTATGTTCTCAATCTTACAGTTTCTTCATTCTTGTTTATTATAAAGAGATGCCATAAGAAACAATAAACCAAACTAGCATATCTGATATGATTCAACTGCTGATGGTATTATAAACCCAAATTTGTTAAATATTGTTATTTATGGGAGAAGAACATTCTGTTTTTCATACTGCAAGAGGGTTAGAATTTGATGAAATATTTTATATGGTATATTTTAAATGGAAACGGTAAGGGCAAAGGATGTAGAAATTGTATTTTTAACATTTTAAAATTTTAGTTTCTCACTCAGTTTAAAATTTATAGCTATTCAATTATATATTTACAGTAATTCTAAGTAATGAAAAACTGGTAGTCTGAAAATTATATAAATTATACCTAGGGCTGTAAATAAAACTTTAAAAACTGAGCTAGCATTTAAAAATACATGTTTACACTAGAATCTAAATAGTATCAGGGAAATCTATTTGATTTTCATAAATAACAGATCCATAAGAAAAAAGTACATTGGCATTTAAAGATGCTTCTTTAGCTCAAATTTGAAGTCACTTGGAAGAATACTTTAGATTTTTATAAGTTCTAAGGGCTTTTATAAGAAATCTAGTTTTTCACTGGTTAATAGGAAAGGGTCTTTAACTTAAGTCATCTATAATAATGAACAAATTAATATTTGTGAATTTTGTAGTTACTTCGTGGAGGTGTGTTAAATTTTTAAAATAACAATGTTCAAGCAAAGAATGCATATCGGGAATGTATATGGGTTTAGCTCATTTCATATAATAGTTCTGTTCCTCCAAAAATTAGATAAATCAAATAATATTTTAAATATACCAGGTAAATGTACTATTTTAAAGAGCACTTTGAGTAAAATGAGTAGTCCTTGTTTTACTGCATTTAGTAACTTAAATCTATCTTTAAATGCTCTGCAGAAAGAAAGATAAATCTAAATAACTGTAGAAACATTAATTGCTTATGGCGAGGTTTCGCCGATAAAATAAAAAAGACAATACTACCTAAATTAATTTTCACATTCAGTGTTTTACCACAACTAGAAAAAAAAAGAAGTCAAGCATTTCAAGGGTAAAAATGAAATAAATGGCAAAAGAAAGGGGGTCTAACCATACCAGAAATCAAATAAAATAGTCATTAGAAGGCTTTGGTACTGGTTAAAAAATTATGTTGACTCAGCCTACACGTGAGCAGTTAATATTAATCCACTTAATTAAGTCTGTCTTTACCATTGCAAAGTTCATAGTTTTATAGTTTTATAGTTCATAGATTCACACATTTTTTATTGATAAATAGAGTTCCTGGGTACATCTTGTAGATACATTCCCAGATACTTTATAGCTTTTGTAGTTATTTTAAATGGAATTTTGCTTTCTAGTTCTTCCTGCTGAGCTTTGTTGGCAACAAACAGGAATGCTAATGATTTATGTAGGGTTTTTTTTCCTGCAACTTCTCTAAATTCCTTCATTGTTTTAATGAACTTTTTTTTGTTTGACTCTTAGGTTTTTTAAGTGAATCTTATCATTAGCAAAAAATAAGTTTTATTTATTCTTTCCCTAAGCTTATTCCTTCATTCATTATTATTCCTACCAATTTTATAGATCAGGAACCTAAGACTTAAAGACCTTACATGACTTGTCCATGTAGCTAGTAATATTAGTCAAGAGATTTATGCTCAGGTCTTTCTAACTCCAAGCCCAGAATTCTATTGCTATGGTGCCTCTTCTGTTGTATCATTTATATCATAGCTTAGTGCTAGGTATAAGATAAGTACTCAATAAATATTTGTTGGCTGAAAAGACATCATCTCTTACTATAGCACCATTACCTTCTTCCATAGCCTCTTGGGTCCAGCTCTAATCATAACCCTGCATAGATTCCTGTGGGGAGCCTTGTCTTAGCTGTGTGACTGAACTCTTCATTGGAAATGCTGCCCACTGTGTAAAGGACATATATGTAGTATTTTAATAATTGGAGAGACCATGTAGTCCATGAAAGAGTAGGAGTCCGAACCATATTTCTGCCCTAGCTGCAACTTTAAGGAATTCTCTGTCCTTGCTAGCTTGAAGTTATGCATGTGTGTTAGAAGAGGAGAATCAGCAATGCCAATAAGAGCTGAAAAAGTGATTAGTTCTGATTTTGCTTCTTCATTCTTGGATCACTAGCTGCCACCTGATTTAGCTGTATTTACTTGTTTTACCTAATTGGAGTGAAATTAGATGAATTTAGCACTGGGGCCGGAGTGACTTCTTCTTTTGGCTCCATTCTTGGTCATTGATGTGGATGTTCCTTCCATCCATACCAATTAAAGCACCTCATTACTTGTCCATCTTGTGAGCTTTTGACCACCTCCTTCAGTAAGGTTGCAACAAGTGAACCACCTAACATGCTAACAGCCTTATTCACTTTCTCATGCCATCAGGAAGATATCAGTAGGGCATATGAGCTGTGTATTGTTTATTCTCCCCTCTTGCCACATAAATCAACTGTTTTTTTTATCACATACTTTCCAAATGATATCTTTTATTCTTGTTTTTTGTAGTTCCATATTTGTTAAATTTCAGAGAACTGACAAAGCATAGCAGAATGCTGTGATCTACCTCTCAATTGTCTTCTGAGTAATACTGATTTTTTTTTTTCTTCAGAGGCTATAGTGTTCTGTGATTCAAAGTCATACAATACCACTTGTGAAATATTTGTATTAGAAAGATAAGTTTTAAAAAGATTGGTTTTAGGGAGAAATTTAGGGTCCAAGAGCTTTACAGTTTTTGAAAGGCCATATAGTTTACTCTCTTCCTGTTGAATTGTGGGTCCCACTCATTGTCTATTTGCTTTGTCTATCCATGATGCATAGGTGCGTGTGTGTGTGTGTGTGTGTGTGTGTGTGTGTGTGTGTGTGTGTTTGTTTGTAATTGTGCTCTTTAGGTTGTCTATATAACTGCATGTCATAATGGACAGTGCTCATTCTTCATCCACTTGGTTTTTCCTATGTCAGTCTAAATTCATTTGAGTGGTTACAGAACTTGTTCAGGAGGCTCTGCATTGTTATGAGACATGCTTAACAAGCTCCCTGTTATATAGAAGCATCCAGAGTACATCATCCTCTTTAGGAAATCTCTCTTCAACTTGAACTCTACATGGATCTCCTCCATGTCTGTAGCAAACCTTTGGTGAGCATACATCTCCTCATTTTATATTACACCTAATACATGCAGAAGGTCATTGAGCAACCTTATTATCTTTGTTGTAATTTTTACAAGTATATATTATTTTTCTCTTCTATTCCCCCGTCCACTGAGCAATAAAGAAAAAAAAATACTGATGACAAATATGCATAATCCAACAAAAAATATTCCCCCATTGACCATGTGCAAAAATGTATTTCCATTCTGCATTTTAAGCCTGTCACCTCTCTTGACAGGAAATAAGTAGTGTGTTTCATATTCAGTGCCCTAGACTTGTATTTTATCATTGCATTAATCAGAGTTCTAAAATCTAAGTTGTTTTTCTCTTTAACATTGTTGCCATTGTTTAAATTGTTCTCTTCATTCTGTTCACTTCATTCTGTATTAGGTCATAAGAGGCTTCCCAGTTTCCTCTGTAATTGGCCATTTTAAAATTTCTTATGGCACAATAATATTCCATTTATATTCAGTCAATCAAAAAATTTTATTAAGCACCTAGTATGAGTCAGGCACCTTGCTAAGAGCTGGGGACACAAAAGGAAGCAAAAAACAGTCCTTGCCCTCAAGGAGCTTACAGTCTAATGGAGGACACAAAATGTAAACAAATATATACAAAGCAAGCTGTATACAGGATAAATAGAAAATAATTAACAGAGGTAAGGCACTAGAATTAAGTTGGATTGGAAAAGACTTATAAAAGATGGGATTTTAGTTGGTACTTCAAAGGAAACCAGAGAAGTCACTAGGCAGAATTGAGGAGGAGAGCATTCCTTTAGTATCCAGTTTGGAAAGAACTGCTATAAATATTTTTGTAAATACAGGTCCTTTTCCTCTTTTTTTGATCACTTTGAGGTGTAACCTAGAAGTGATAGCTAGCCCAAGGAATATACACAGTTGGGTAAATATTGGGGCCTAGTTTCAATTTCTAGAATGGTTGGAGCAGTTCATAGTACCAGTTAGCAAGGCACTAGTGTGCCGGTTTTCTAGTATTTGTAATATTTGTCATTTTCCTCCTTTGTCCTCTTTGCCAATCTGGTAGGTGTGAGGTGCGACCTCAGAATTGTCTTAATTTGCATTTCTAATAATTAGTGATTTAGAGAATTTTTTCATATGGTTGTTGATAGTTTGAATTTCCTTCTTTGAAAACTGCATGTTCATGTCAATTTATGAATTAGAAAATGGCTCTTATACATTTTAATCTGTTCCTTATGTGTCTTGGAAATGAAATCTTTGTCAGAGAAACTCACTTCAAAGATTTTTTTTTCTAGTTAACCTCTTTCCCTTCTAATTTTAACTGCATTGGATTTATTTGTTCAAAAATATTTAAATGTCATATGACCAAAATTTGGCCATTTCATCTGATACAATCTTTATTTCATATTTAGTCGTGAAGTCTTTATAGATCTGAAAGATAATTTTTCCTTTCTCAAATTTGCTTATGATATCACCTTTTAAATCAAGTCAATTTGAAGCTTATCTTGTATATGGTATGAGAAGTTGGTCTATGCCTAATTTTTGCAAATTGCTTTCCAGTTCTCCCAGCAGTTTTTTGTCCAATCACGAGTCTTTACCCACCCACCCACCCCATCCCCTCAGTAACTAGAGTTGTTTGATTTGTAGGGTCCCTATGCCACTGTATTCATTTGCTTCTATATTTT